CTAGGGACGAGACCTGTACCGTACCGTACTGTACTCGAAAATGGAGCTGATACCCAAGTTCTCGTGCACTAAGTAAAAGACCGTGAAACGAAACTAGGGAAGTAGGATGACAGACCCGTATCCAGGCCGAGTTGAGCTCGATCGCGGCACCTCCTCCTTCTCCTATGTGGGCGGGGCATCAGCGAATGTGAATGACGTTGGGTTCCTCGCAAGGAACCGGACTAACTCCGGGATGGGTTCCGCTGAGTCTGTTAGAAACTCTACGAAACGCATTCTCCGCGGTCGAACGTAGCGTGGGCAGCTATTGAGGATGTGGTGTCTCGTTTCGAGAACACCGCATATCGGGCAGTTGGACGATTTGGTGGGGAAGAATCGGGACCGGTATTCGCCGATGGGAGCGTGGTTAAGGATGAGACGCGATATTCTGGCTGTTATGGTGTTGCTGATTCCGACCACCGATAAGAGAGGACCGCCACGTGTGTGACTGGCTTTGCGTAGTTTGGCGTTGGGGAAGAAACCATGGCCAAGGTCAGGGATCTGTTGCCATTCGTCTACGAGGCGTGCGGTGACGTGTTGTCTAGCGTAGGCAGCGGAGACGTGCGGTGAACGGGGATAGGTAGCGTGGGCTTCCGTGGCGTCGGAGTCAACGTTCTCGTTTTCCTCGATGTTCTGGTGGCCCGGTACCCAGTGAAGATGAATGCGATGGTGCGGGGATAGAGAAAGCCACGCCTTGGCTCGTGTGCATGACATGACCGAAAGTATTTGGGAGGAGTGCAGGCTTGTGTCGAAGAGGGAATTGAGCGCAGCTGCGTTGTCGGCGTATAGATGTATGTGATGGGTGGCGGTGCCCGTGGTCGCGCGTGCAATCGCTCGTTTGATTGAGTGGTGGAGAGCCGACGTGAGTCCTGCTAATTCCGCGTCAAAGGAGGTAGCCCGTCCCGTAGCGAATGAATGTCGGTGTAAGATTTCGCCCCGATGATAGACCCGAACCGCTGCCGTTGAGTGATAGTCCTCGTCCGGATGAACTGACCCGTCTGAAAATGCGTAGATGGATCGAGAATCTAGTTTGATGCCCGCCAAGTCCCTCCTGAACTCTCTCAGCCACTCATCGAACTCTTCTCTCCTCGCCTTGGGGGGATGGGATGTATGGTAAATGATATGGTCTGAAAATAAGTCAACCAATCGAAATCCAGGTCTCGTCTCGTCATGGATGGGAAGGAATTGTTCATGGGAAGAGGAAGCCATAAATTCCATGGAGTCCGCAGCGAAATGTAAAGGGAGGGATCGTCTATGGGGAACAGGAATATGCTTGAGAACGGGTCCATATGTATGCTTAGTAGAGTCTGTTGATGTTATGCGAAAAGTAGAAAGTGCCGGAGCAAAAGAGGAAATAAGAATATGTGACTCAGCAAGACGTGGTAATCGTAGAAAGGAGCGCAGCATGAGTTTGCGTAGGTGGAGGTGAATAGGCATGAGACCTGCCAGGGTGTTCAGAGCGTTTGTTGGTGATGTGCGGAACGCGCCAAGTATCCAGCGGGCGGCCATAGCTTGTGCGCGTCGTAGTGGTTCGAGGAGGGTTGTTTGGGCTTTGCCTGGTCGTAACCAGACTCGGCATCCAAATGTGAGGAGGGGTCGGATGCAGGAGACATAGAGTCGCCGTTTGTGGATAGGGGTGAGGCCTCGTAGGGAGTTACCGAGAAGCGGGTAGGCACGGACAGTGGAGAGAGCCTTGTTGGAGTAGTGGCGGATATGGTCTTTGAACGTGAGGTGACGGTCGAGGAAGAAACCTAGGTATCTCCATACGACCTGGGGTTGAATGGTGATGTTGGGGGATATGACAAGCGGGGGAAAGGGGCCGTCGTAGGAACGATTGAGGGGAAAGTGTTGTAACTCTAACTTATCCGCCTCCAAAACGAACCCTGCACGTGTGAAAAGGGAAGAAAGAGAAGCGAACTGGGATTTTAATAAGAAAATGTTGGTGCCGAATGAGTCGGAGGATTGTGCGAAGCAACCATCGTCCATAAAGAATAGAAGAGAGGTGGATGCATCGGGTGAGGGAGAAACGAAATGAAGCTTGGTAAATGCGTGTAGGATAGCGGCAAGGGAGATGTTAGCATAGACTGGGGAGAGTGCGGACCCCTGCCCAACGCCGACCGAACAGTCTACCGGGTCAAGCAGGGTGCCGTTCCACCGAAACTGCGTAGACCTGTCCTGCAAATAGTTGGAGGTGAAGTTAACATATTCAGGGGCGAATCCAAACTGTGACATAGCTCGTAACAGGAACTCGTGGTTTACGGAAGGAAAACACTGCGCCACATCCAGCGCCAGACACGTCGTCACCATTTTCTTCCGCTTCATCGCTAGGATGTGGTTTACCAGCAGCACCCCTGCATCTTCCACCGAGTGCGCCGACACCCCTCCACACTGTGACGGATGGAATACTCCGTACGCCGTCGCTTCGAACTGGTACCGCCGAGCGTACGTCTTCTCACCCAGTTTGCCGAGGCAGACCAGGAGAATAATGGGTCTGTACGCTTTGAGGACAGAGTAGTCGGCCTTGTTGGGCTTCGCCGTGATGACAGTGACTGATTCCTTGAACTGTTTTGGCCAGTAGCCGACCTGTAAGCAAGCCGTGTATAGTCGACATAGCTGAGCTGAAGCCTCGTCGTCGTCTACCGCTTGCCGTACGTGTCGCCAAGAGACATGGTCAACACCTGGTGCTGTGTTGACTACTCCAGCAATAGCTTCAGCGATTTCGGCCTTTGAGATAGGCTTGAATTCTCGAGTTGGTAGGCGAGGAATGTCGTCAAAGATGGAAAGATCAACCGGTCGATCAGCTGCCGAGAAGAACTGTTGGCTGAAACCCTGTCGAACTTTGTCAGCTGAATCCAAAGTCGCGCCCGTCGAGTCACGGAGTGCCACCCCTCCCGATATTGCTCGTGGTTTTACCCACGATGTCAAGTCCCATACTCTCTTCTTCGCCTCTGCTTGTGCGATTACCTTGTCGTAATGCTCCCTCTGTACCTTTTTACACGTCGCATAGAACCTCTTCCGGCTCTCGTTGTCCCTGCTCTCCTTGAATTCCTCTAGCGCCGCTCGACACTCCTTATTCCACCACTTCTTCGACCGAGCAGTCGGTTTGGACATTTCTGCATGGACACACCGCACATCGCGCGATGGATACCTCAGTCCTCGCTACTCGGCGTACCAAGGGGGTGGCAGGAATAAAATAAAAAACCGGATGTAGGGGGGGGAGGGGGGCCCGGAGGGCCCTTAAACACGAACTGTCCGGACATCACGGGAGGTCCTACGGCAGCCATTTGGAGGGTTCCTGGGGCTCATATACGATTATCTTTGTACACAGTGCTGATAAAACTGTGAATAGAAGATGGTTTGAGTGTAAAAAAGATAATAATGAATACTTTTAGGCTAGGTTAAGCTACGGTCGACGTCGGTCATCCCCTCCCCTAGCCTAGGCTAGGTTAAGCTACGGTCGACGTCGGTCATCCCCTCCCCTAGCCTAGGCTAGGTTAAGCTACGGTCGACGTCGGTCATCCCCTCCCCTAGCCTAGGCTAGGTTAAGCTACGGTCGACGTCGGTCATCCCCTCCCCTAGCCTAGGCTAGGTT